AAAGAGTGCCGATCAAAAAACTTTAACCAGTTTTTCGTTCAAAATTCTAAAACTTCTAAAAAGCCTAAATTAAACAACATTTTAAATATTCTCTAAGCGTTATTTTATTTAATTTTATTAAAAATCTAAAGGTTAATAAGCATGCCATTTTGTAACCTAATAAACATAGAAATATCTAAAAAAAAATGGGGATACATCTGTTTTGCTTGTTATGCCAAAATCATGAATTTACGCTTTTGCTTTATTAAAATTAAGCGATTTTTGGTCCACCCTCAAATGATGTGAACATTATTAAAAAGTATTCTTTAAGTCTCCTCAATAATATACTCTAATTTCGGTGTACAAATGTGTACTCTGTGAAAGGTAGACTTTGAAATAAACAAAAATTAAAAAAAAATCATGAATTTTAAAAAAATTTCAAAAAGGGGAGCAGCTAGGATTTTAGTAAATATCATTTTTAAGTCACCAAAGGGTCCCGAACAAGAAACTGCAATTAGTTTTTGGCGGCATTTTTATGTGACTTAAACTTCGTTCAGGCACACCCTGTACTCTCAGGAAAATCATCTAAAAATTTAAAAAAAAAACATTTATTTATTATATACATTAAACTGAGCTATTGTAAGAACTGTACTTAAAATTTGTCTGTACTATTGTACAAAACGCGATTTTCGACCTTATGAACTAAAACAAAATGCAATTTTTACATTATAAAAATTTTTAAGATTGGAAATAGTGTGATGTTTTACACTAACTTTTTTACTCTACAACTTTTACCTGGGAGAACACTAAAATATTTTATTACTCTGTACTAATGTTTTCCTGAGAGGTGCATTGGTAAAAAAAGAAAAAAGGCACATTTTTTAATGAATTTGTTCAATACTAAATAACAGTGTAATTAATAAACGTTTATTTAACTCGGTAAAAAGGGCAACCGACTGTGCTTGAAGCAATTATGGGATAAAGGGATAAACCGAGCTGCAGCAGTAGACTAGATTATTGTTTTGTTAAAGTAATTAAGCATTATTAGCGATTAGCAATCCAAGTGTTGCACTGCGGTCATCTACCCGGAAAGTATATTTAACTAGATAATTAAAAAGCAATAAATCGTGCCAAATTTACATCCACACGGCTTAATTTATACTCCTTTTTATTTCCTAAGGACAAACTTAAAAATACTGTTGGGGCTTTTAAAATAAATTAAAATTAGTTATAATAACTTTTTTCTATATCGACCGAACAAAGGCGAAACATTTATAGCCTGTGAAGCAATTTTTATTTTTTTATTTTGATATGGACGGATACAATAATAACATTTCGGTTAGTAATTAAAGCAAGGACCTACTGAATTCGACTGGTTACCACAGTAGAGTTGTCAATTATTCAAATTGAATGCGGTCAGTGCAGGTAATCAACGTTTCCTAGTCTCACTTTAAAATAAGATTACCAGGGTGTGCCTAATTCAATAGCCAGTTCAGCTTTGCGCACTATTTAATTACCTAGGTAGCTATTTGCTTTTGCGTTTTTTAACGAAGCCTTCTCAAATAATACCAAAGCAAAGTTTCGTTCGGCAAACAATTTAAATTAAATGAGTTTAGTTTGTTTATTTAGAAAAGTAATACCTACTTGTCTTTTAACAAATACAAGGTGTTTCCGAATTCCATAAAAAAATGTTAATGGGTGTTATAATATGATTCTCACGGACTAAAATACAAACTACGTTTTCAACAATCTGTTACTATAAAAAATACCCGCCAGTTACACTATTATTAAGCTATATAGACGGTGTATCACTTCAGTGTAAGCTTTTTTCGGAAAATACAAAAATAATAATTAATACAAATTTTAAGAAAAAATGTAAATAAAAACAAATATTATATCTATTTTTTATAATTATTACACTAATAAATAAATTAAATTTGTTAAATTAAATTGTTTCTTATTGTAAACCGACAGCGCTCGCGCTCGGGGAAAATTAAATTCATATTGTTTAAACTAATAGCGGGCAGTGAAATTTTCTTGTAGAATTTTTAACTAAAATGTACAATGCATGTAACTGACAAAAAACAAATTCATAATTTGAGGGAGAGTTAAAATTTTCATTTTTTTAATTAAAAGTTAATTAAAAATATGATAATAAATAAATAATTTCAAATTATGAATTATTTTTCAAAATGTGAATATTGAACAATAAATCCTGAAAATTTCATTAAAATATCTTAATATCGGTTTTTCTTAAATAAGTCTCCAAAATTTTCATTGTAAAAAAAATTGTTAACAACATGTTGTTAAAATGAAAAATTTAAAAAACTCTTTCATTATTGATAGTAACTGCTTTATATTAAAATATATTAATTTGAATTCAGCGATCAAGTGGGAAATAGGGGATCCACCCGAGGTGATCTTACTCAATACTACACAGAGAGAAAGGAGTGGTTGTAAACACCGTAATAGGTTTATATTCACCTTAACGTAGCATTGTATTTTGCCGACCTCATATGGGTTTATAGTAAACACATCTTAAAGTATATCATATTTATTTGTTAATAAAAGTTAGTTCGGTAACAGTTAAAACATTAGTTAGTTAGCTATTAATAAAAAAAACGCTATGTTAGAAAAGTTTTCTTATAGTAATTGGTCTTCACTTAATAGTTAATCCACAGGCGCTTTATATTAGAAAAGCCTATTTATAGTAAATGAACTTAAGGTAATACTTCATCCACAAGAGCTTTGTATTAAAAAGGCAATAGGTGTTTATTATAATGCGAGAAATAATAATAAATATTTTAATTAACTGCAATTATCAATTCATATTTTAACTATTAGAAATGTATGATTATTAGTATAGCATGTATTTATAACAGTGCGATTGTATAAGGTAATAAATAAAAGTGTGTATTTATAAGAAAATTTATTTTTGAAAAAAGTTTAAAAATATTTAAGGTGTAACAGAACAAAAAAAAGAAAGTGGCGTCTGGGGGGTTTTGGGTATACCGATACTTAGTTATAAGACATGGGACCCACACCAACTAAGATATCGGTATAGCCAAAATCCACCAGCCGCCATTGAAAAATGAATACATTTAGAGTAAGCTTATACCTATGAGTACATAAAAATAATAATAATTAAAGTAATATTTAAAAAAAAAAGAATGTAGTGATATTTTGTTGCCGGAAGCTCATTAAAGATGAGTGGTAACTTCTGATTTCAAATCAGTGATTTGTAGTTAGAACTATAATAGTTCTAAAAGAATTTAATTTTTATTTTTTTAATGCTTTATATTTCCTGTTTTATTTCTATTTACCGGGCTCCCTATATATCCGTAGGTATATACCGAGCCCGGTATATAAAAATAAAAAAATCCTTTTAGAACTGACTAAAAATCCGAAGTTACCACTCATGTATAATGAGCTTCCGGTAACAAAATATGATTTCATTATTCTTCATAAAAATATTACTTTTAGTATTTTTTTACCAAGAAAACATAACTGCCGTTTCTGTGCAATGCCACTGGAGTGATATTCTTTACAGTAGTACACTTAGTTAAGAGTTCCTTAGTTAGTAGTTAGTTAGTTAGTTAAGAGTTCCTGACAATCTGCCTTGGAATTTTCCATAATTTACACACAAAAAAACGTTTCCACTTAAGCAACTATTACTATTCTATGATGGGAATCGACTAAATCTCTTAAGAGTCTTAACTGAACTAGTCGAAACTCGCATAGCCTATGCGGCATATTTTTTATCCCCACTCCAGTGGTTTATTGGGTATAAATGAATCTTATTAGTAAATAGTAATAAGTTATTACATATAAGACCATGCTATAGCAATAAATAATATATAATAATAAGTATTAAGAAATCTGTTTGGATAATAATAATAAAAACGTCTACGAGTCATCTCTTCGTAGATTTATTATTACCCGATAAGTTAACTATTACCTCATAGTGTAATATTCTGTAGTTATTGTAAGATTACTGATATTAAACCAGTGTAATACATTTAAACCATGACAGCTAACTATTATTCATAAAACTTCTTAAATAACCGCAAAATTATTACCTAATACTCTTTTTTTGTTAATAACCAAGACATCAACCAGCAAAACACCTTCGTGTGTTTAAAATCTATTCTATATTATTTATTAAAAAATTAGAGATATCTTATCTTGAGGCAATAATTAAGTTCTAGGAATTCATCATGTTTTACCAATTAAACAAAAAGTTTATTTATTATATTTCAAAATTTAAAAATTATAACTTTATGGTACTTAAAAAGAAATGTGTTCGTAACTTATATTTTGTAATAATAAATAAGTCTTTTCTCTCTGTGTAATAATTAATAATGATCAAATCAAATGTCATTTGAATGTAGGAAGTGTCTACGTATACTGTTTGTTGCAACGTTTATGATATATTTGCCCGCCGCGGCGATTTTTTAATCTAATTAATAAAATTAACTTATTTTTATTAAACAGCATTTTATGAACGGGTCCAATCGACCTCCGCGACAGTGCATTTTAAAAAATATTATTTAGTTGCTGCTGAGTAGTAGTAGATACATCTTAAAATGTATAATGGGTTGCATACAATACTCTCCATTAAATCGGCATAAAGGTCTACTTTACTGCCGATTTCTTTTATTTTACTGCCGATTGTTGACTACTTTACTGCCGATTTCGGATAAAAAATATTATCCGACAAATATTAAAAATATTTTCCACCACAAAAAAAACAAAGTGTTTAAAGTACCTTTCTCCAACGATGTTGGCATCTTCAGAAGCGAAGTGCCCCTAAATCTAAATTTACAATATTTATACCAATTATAGCAGACTTGGTTTTCAAATCCTATTCTATGACTGAAGTGTGTTGCTGCCTGAACTGAAAGCAATTTTCGAAAAATCCCTTTTAGACCTCGGGTGTACTGGGGCTCGAAAGGAATAGTCATAAACTTGACTTGGCACCAAAGTCGTCATTTTTCAAGTAAAATTATTTGTTGTTTTAGCTGCGATGGGTAGAAGTCAATCGACACCGGGTCTGGTGGAGTCGAGGGGCAAGATCGCGTTGGAGGACATGTGGTTGCCGGCTACGTTGGTAGGACTGACGTCAGCGTTCACGAGGTCGCCTATGAGCACGCCGCCGCCTCGGCAAACGCCAGACAGCCCCACCGGCTCCACGAGTAGCGGCCGCAGTCACCATCCATCGTCGCACGCCAGCCACACGTCACACGCCCGGTCACAAGGTAAAATAGGTTTATTATTTACTTCTTTTAAGTGGGAATAGTACCTACATTATCTAACAAGTAAAGTAAGCGTTTATATTATACGCTAAAGAATCATCGCTACACAGTAAAAAAAAGCTTCACACTAGGCTTCACTAGAGAACACTAGTTATGGCTTGAGCAGGTCCACTTTAATAGAGTTCAAATTTTCACTTTAAAATTATTATGAATTTTAGTGTTGTTTAACACAGTTCGTGCGACTTCATACACTATTTGATTGAAAATTACTACACTAACCGTGTTCGGTAGCTCTCTAAAAGTGTTCACTTTGACACTTATTTATTTGCATTTTTTTTACTTTTAGTGTAAATGCTATTTCTAATAGTGCTGGAAATTTAATTTGTTTATCCTAACACTAATAGATTTAAAAAGTGTACACCAATATTGTGTAAGATTGGTTTCTGCAGTGAGCCCTTAAAGTTACATACATAAAATTCATTTAATGTTGATAAAAATGGTATAATATTTAATATAATATTAATACATTAAAGAGCAAGCGGAGAAAGCACTTATTATCGATGAGCATACACTGCTGAGGCGTCAGCTGAGGCAGTAGATTGTGGGCGAGGCAATTATTAGGCTTTCGCTGCCGTGTTTTTTTTAAGGATTTCATTGTTTAATTTTGTCATATCATTTTTAGTTTAGGTTCAACGGACGGTGCCATTTTAGCTTTATTTTGGTAGGAAGTTTAATAATAATTTGACTTTTGAACTAGTATTAATATTCATAAAGTCTTTTTATATAGACTTTGAAGTGTTATAATATAAAAATTATTCCACGCTTGAAAAAAAATATGTAATGGAGGTTTGCTCTTATTAGTTTTTTATATATTCATTTATTTTTAATTATATGAATTACTTTTGGGTAGCGCTGCTGGCGTGTTTAAATAATGTTTATATAAAACAAATAAAATTTATATTTATATAAAAATAAATATTGTAAGTTTTACGTTACAAAAAATTAAACTACAATATTTGGCAATTACTTTATATAAATTTATACGTAAATACAGTCCATTGTAAGTTTTACGCTTCAAAATATACAACTAATCTTTGGCAATTACTTAAAATATAAATACGTTCAAAACACCAAATAATATTTTGGCACAAAGTACGAACTGACACTTTTAGATTGGTGTAAATTGTATGGCTCTTTATAAAGCAAGCTTAATATCTCGTAGTTTTATACAGGTAACCAATTCTTACCTATTTTGGGAGTAAAATTTCTATCGAATCGGGAAATTCTTTTATATACCAAACTTTTGCAGTGATAATTTCAAAATTAAACTTTGAAGGTCCTCTTTGCAATTCAGTGCTAAAGTTGTCATCATAAAATGCCATCTGCTAAGGTTTTGGCTCAATTTTTAAAAAAATTATTAAACTTGGCATCATGGACATGTTTTACTCTCAAAAAAAACATTTAAAAATTAAAAAAAAAACGATTGACTTATATAATAATTATTATATAAATTAAACTGAGATATTGTAAGAACTGTACTTGAAATTTGCCTGTACAATAAACAAAACGCGATTTTCACTCGATTTTCGACCTTATAAACCAAAATAAAATGCAATTTTTGAAATTATAAACCATGATGAGTAATAATTGACTTACCTTTAGTTAATAATTATAAACCACAACTAAACAGCTTGGTGCATTCTTCCAACACAAATGAACAATGAACGAAACAAGTTTGCGTTTTTGTCAACTGAACACCCCCTGATTGCATATTTAAACTAATGTGCACTGCCAGAGCTTGGCTAGTGATAAATAAATATTTAAGTGTAAAGTTAGATTGATGTGGAACACTACTATCGCACTTGGACAAAAAAAATATATTTTAGGATTTAAAATAGTGTGATGTTTTACACTAACTTTTTAACTCTACAACTTTCACCTGGGAGAACACTAACATATTTTTTTACTGTGTAGTAGCGCCATCACGTGACCGTGAATCACGGCCCTTGATCATCGTAACACAACTACAACATTTAATAATCAGCTGTCAAACGTACCTAACATAATGACAAACTAGGGATTTTGAGAAAAAAACGTAAAACGATTTGTTGTGTTTTTTGGGTGTTTTTTCGAGTTTTTACCTGTTTCCCAATAAACAGTGGAAATCCGAATGAAGAAATAAAATGCGTACAGTCCCTGTAAATATAAATTTTACCTATTAGATACAATAAATACACATTTTAGTAGTGATTTACGTAATTATTGTAAACATTTCAATTCAGTAAAAATCATCAGTAGTCTAAATTAAAACAGCATTATGCATTATTAAAAGCGTTGCTTGAGAAAATTTTCACTCAACGGTAAAAAAAACAAAAACGGGTGTCAATAATTCAACTATAATTCTTTTAATTTTTAAAAAGGACCCTATTTTTACAAAGGTTTTTGTAGACCCAGTATTTGTTGGAAATTGGAAACTTAAATGAATTTTGATAAAAAATTATGCTTTATTCATCAATTTCCCAAACAAAAAAATTAACAAATACCTACATAAATAACAATATAGTAACAAATTGCTGGTAATATAATATATAATAATATTAATATAATAATATTATTATAAACACTCTGGACAGTTGTTACGAACACGTTACGAATTAGAATAAAGTAAGCAGAAACATAAGTTGCAGACGCTGAAGTCAGTTGAACTTGTTGATGCGTATTGTCAGTGGGAAATGTTTTGATTGACTGCCTGAAATCACTTGTACTTTTTCACGAAATAATTTATTAACAAAATAATCTGTAACCTTTAAAAATTAACAAAATCCTTACAAAATTGCATGACACCCTTACAAAATAAAATTAACAAACTACAAACTCTTGTTAACAAATTTGATTTTTATAACAGTGTACGTATTATCATTATAAAATATTCTTTCGTAATAAACTTCTGAAGCTTGTTATTAAAAGTTTCGCTGAAATTGGTTCAGGTTGACGCCAATCTAAATTTAATCATATGGAAGGATTTTATTGATTAAAACTTAAAAATGCATTAAATATCACATAGTTGCAAACAAAATTACCTTATCAGGGTAATAATGGGCAAATAAAACTTGGCAGCAAAAGTAAAATTAGTTACGTTACATAGAATGAAGTCATTAGTGTTCATATGAAACAGCCGCATTGCGATGCCCATTCCCGATATTGGTTTTCAAATTTATCTCGAATCGCAGTCTAATAACACAGCACCGCCACCCACATTTTTCAAAAATTTCCACTGTATAAAATTAGCACGATTGTTTTTCCAATTCTTTTGTATATGCTGCGGCTCTTTCGATATCATACCTACACAGAAAAAAAATATTTGTTAATTTAAACCAAATATTAACCAGATTTTATATTAATTTAGGTGATCTGTTTATGATTTAATAACAAAATTCTATGTCAATAATTCAACCATAATTCTTGTAATTTTCAAAAAGGACCTTATTTTTACAAACCTTTTTGTAGACCTAGTAACAAAAATATATTTTTTTTAAAATGTTGCTTTAATAATCAATGTCCTAAACAAAAAAATAACACATACCTACAATGTAGGTCCTACATAAATAAACACAAAAATAACACAGAATTAAATAACACACTATTCTGAAATCATTAAAGTATAAAGAAATTTGGCACAATATAATTATCAGTACTACTACAACACTTACTGATGTATTTCGTTACTTTAAGCCACTTCACTGTATCCCCTAATTTCAGTTTGAAAACCAGTGATGGCATCTTTTTTTGGATACTTCGCACTTTGCACACTCGTTCAATAGGTTAAAGGAATCCGAATAACAATAATAACAGATTTCTGGTAATATATTATAAACACATTGGACAGTTGTTACGAACACGTTACGAATTAGAATAAAGTATGCGGAAACATAAGTTGCAGACGCTGAAGTCAGTTAAACTTGTTGATGCGTATTGTTAGTGGGAAATGTTTTTATTGACTGCCTAAAATCACGTGTACTTTTTCAACGAAAGAATTTGTTAAACAAAATAATCTGCAACCTTTGAAAATTATCAAAATGCTTACAAAATTGCATATTACATTTTTAAAACTTTCGGAAAAATATTTTCCTTTTTAAAAAAAAGATAAAATTTTACAAAATAAAATTAACAAACTACAACCTCATGTTAACAAATCTGATTTTTATAACAGTGTATAAAACTAGGAACCAATCAATTAATTTGCTAAACTGGTTTTAGCTATAGCTATAGTAATAATATTAAATATTTAAAAAATATTATTTTTTATTTTTCAAACTGTTTTTTAACACGATTGTATTTATGAAACCAGTTTTATGGCTCAAAAAATCAATTTGTAAAAATGTAACTTTTCATTATTAGGTAAATCATTATTTTTATGCAAATATTTTTTAATGTAAAAATGTGTTTTACCATCCCACAGTTTCTTTTACCAACCTCCTTAAAATACAAATACAATATAATTCCACGTTTTGTTTACCAAATCACTTTAAAAATCATTTTCTAAATACAGAAAAGTTTTGGATTTGCTAAACTGGGTCTTTCCCGTTTGGAACACAGAAGTTAAAATCATTTTAGCTGACTGATTTGATTGTATTTAACTTTGGGTTCGGTCTATATTTACATATGTTTTGGAAATGTTGTATGTTTTATTCAGTGTAAATATTTTAACACGAGGTAGTTTCCCCAGTTTTAGATAAACAGTGATAATTATCAGCTTTGTTTCTTCTTCGAATACAAGCGTTTTATACTGGGTATTATTTTATTTAAAAGTAAGCAGATAAGGTAGTATCGTTATATGTATTTTTACATGTGTTTGTAGAAATCAAATAAAGTAAGCAAATTTTTTATAATGTATAAAACAAATTAAGTTAAAGTTGTTATAAAACAAATAAATTGGTTTAAATTTTAATTTTTAATTTAATGCCAGATTTGTAAGTGACGTCAAGATTAATTAATAATTTGCG